CTAAATTAACTCCAATCCCTGGTGCTAAATTAACGCCCATTCTAGTGTCAGAATAACACCTTTGGGTGTTTAAATAGCACTACATTTGGTGTTAAAGCAGCACCTTTTTACCTACTGCAATTTAATGTGCAGTTCTTACATCAGTAATCATATCTAAATCAAAATTAATGACACTTATACAAGGAAATAAAAAATCAATATATGTGACCCTCCACGGGAAAACCAACATTAACGGTTTGAAAAAACGGGCTGAAATACCGTTTGCTATCCGTTTTCTATCCGTGAAAATCAAAAACGGTTGCCGTTTAAAAATTTTAAACGCCCGTTTAAATTTTATTGCTTGGCGTTTAAACGGTTTGTTCAAAACGTGAAAACGTTTTCATCGATCCGTGAAAACGTTTTGAGCGATCCGTGAAAACATTTCGGTAGAGCTGTGAAAACGTTTTGCTTTGGCCGTAAAAACGTTTTCGTAAAACCGTGAAAACGTTTTGGTAGAGCCGTGAAAACGTTTAAATAAAACCGTGAAAATGTTTTATCACAGACGTAAACATGCAGGTTTCACCTTTCACCTATATAACCAGTGCAACGTTTCCGCTAGCGTGCAATTAAATATTTCCATCAAACAGTCGGGACGACCTTGTAAAGTTAATCGTATAAAACTATATAAAATGTAATAAAATGTTTATATATCAGAGGCAAGCAAAATGGGTCGAACACCAAAGTGAGATATCCCTATATATCACTGATTACAACAAATCTAGTTTAGGTTTATAATGCTTATTAAAGAAGTATGATTGATTATATGTCTATCTTTTAATAAAGTATTATCACAGAAGCGAAGACACAGCCGCCCTTGATGATTTGCCAAATTGCACTGCCAGAAACCCATCACCTGGGTCAACAGGCCCCAAAATGCTTTTTCGCAATTATAAATGTACCTATTTCTATAGTGCGTGTGAGAAAACATATAGTTTAAAATTTATTACAGCAATTAAATTCTATACACATACTAAGCAACATATCTGAGATGCAAATATAATTCAACTAATTATAACGAGAGATATCTGGTATTTGTTATGCAAATACTTATATAGATATAATAAATACGCACATTCACGATCCATTTTGGCAAAAACAACTAATTAATGCGTTATAGGATCGTGTGCGAGTTTCCTGTTATATTATCAACTTTTATATACGCTATATTACACATTTTCACAATATTTTCAACAAAGTGCATTTAACCAATCTTCGCCAGTGCGTGTCGAAGTTTGAAAATGGGTTGGTAAAAAATCACGCGGTATGATATATATAAAATCGCCGTTTTTCTGCCATATCGATCGCTTTTTAGACTAGTTATATATGCTTTCATTTTGAGAACACACGACTACACAGTCATAATAGCCTTATGCTGTATAATCAGATTATTCTAATCCGTACTTAAAATTGACGCAATATTTATGTATGTTATTGAAAAGATTTGACCTCTGTAGGAAAAATATGAGCTCTATGTCAAATCTTACTTAACTAAGAATTCTTGGTGGTCACAAAATATCTCTAAATATTTCATAATGAAATACTTTATCTCCTTCCATATTTTAGAGCATCTGCCAAAACTTTAACAGTAGAATATAGCTAGCATGTTATCTGAATAATATTATACGCTATCTGCGCTACACTGCATGAAAAAAAGTTTTTGTTAGTTGAATATGGGATCGAAGGCCTGCGTTCTGTAATCCAAACGTCAAGATTTCCGCCCTGAAAAGCAACTTAATACTCCATCCCGGCGCAAAGGTGCACAATTTTTTAGCCAAAACATATAGCAATTACATATACTGCCCTTATAGAAACAGCGGATCGAAACTGTCAAAAATGCGCACAATTTTTTCTGCAAAGCATATAGCAGTGCAGTCGCCCATATAGACGCGACAATCCCAAACGCACGCACAGGGGAGTTTATACTCACCATTATAACAAAAAATCAATCCACATCATCTTCGAGACATCTAATTGTGACACAATTTGTGCCCCCTGCCTACGATTACCCGGCAAGCAAGACTTCTCCAGAAACATTATGTGTTGATGCATAAAATGTATCTACTGACTCTCGTGTCTGGAAAAATCTTATTTGCCTGTCCTGCCTGTCTCAGCTTAGGAATTAATAAGGTTGCATCTACACACAAATTACTTAGGAATTTGCATGCAATTTTTGGTTAAGAAAAATTTCTGGTGTTTGAGTGCAGATGCACCTATTTATGTTATCTCAGTTTTGTGACCACCCAATTAAAGTACTCAAACCTCTTTGAACCTCTGGCAAACGATGTTCGATTTTACGATGTTCGACTGAGCCAAAGTGATCTTGACCAAACAGCAACTTTCTTTTGTCATATAGTCTACAAAAATTTCATATAAGCCTTAGTGCGCACTTAACAAATAAATATATATGCACACACTTAACAAATAAATATATATGCACACAAGGCAAAAAAAATAAAGTTTTGATCGAGCCAACAGTAATACGAAATCTGATGATTCATGATTTCATCGATAGGGCCTGATTTCAATGCTTGACGGGAATTATTTCCAAGCGCGACTGATGCATAAAGTATTTTTAATCAAACATGCCTTATATCAAACACTACAGTCTAGAAATTAATCAATATGTGTTCATACCTTTATATGCACGTGTTAAAACACCTCGACGTATCCATAGATTTGAATATCCAGCAAATATTTGGGATAGGACTTCGCGAAATTATTGGTAAAGATCTTTACCCGCGTGCTTATGAACTTGATTGGCGCCATTTCATATTTGTTCACTTCGCCGATCCCGTGCGCCGATCTATATAGCTGGCAACAGCCTTCAAAGCGCAAATGTGCAATGACCATACATGCCAAATGCATGATTACAATTTAATATCCGGAATGCAATTCCTTATAAAGAGAACCGAAATCAAAATTAGTGAATATTTTCCTATTGTCCAAGCAGCTGTTAAATAAGAATTCTAATGTTTATTTTCTGTGAGGTCAAGCTTAAATGTTTGTAAGACCTATGATAATCGAACGAAATGGGTTTCTTTTAGATATAACTTATCGCCATTCCCAATATTGTATTAGGCTTACGCTGCGGCATGTCAGCTGCCAATTTTACCAATTGGGCTTGTGCCAGTGTGCGCAAGGATTGCACAAACTTGGTAAAAACATAGCGCTAAAACTTTACCTCGTAAAACACGCAATTTGTAGACCGTGTCTTTCATTGCTTATGCTCTAGTTTAATATCCAGAAAGCTTATATATATAGTTAAATGGTATAATATCGATTATAATTTCTGGTTTGTTATATTTGTCACATGATCCTGATTATTTTGAACAATTAGTATGGCTTGTGTTTTGTGCCTATCAAAGTTTAGCTACGCTAAATTTCAGTGAGGAATATTGATGTTCATTGGGCGACTTCCTTGTGGTTCTATTTTTTTCATTACTTTCATACAATCTATATCATTTGTACAATTTGAGCTTTTCCGCGTTCCACGTTTCCGATTCGAGGAGCTAGTCGAGGGAAATCAAATTATAACCAAACATAAGATGCCTGATTATAAATGTGCTTCAGTGCTTGGTGCATCTGACTTTGCCGAAAGTTGCGAAGTGTTTTATTCGGATCGCCCTCGGCCGGTGAACATCGGCGTCCACGATCAAGCGCTTCAAAAGATCTATGTCTGTTGTTGATACAATTATTGCGATATAGTTTAATAGTTATTTACATTTATTTCATTGTTTACACAACTATATAAGGGTTTTAATCATTGCATACTATAGATATGCAGTTATCCGCGGTTTTGCTCCTATACTATCAGGCTGCTTCGTATCTATCCTAATGACTATTTAAACGACTTCCAACAACCACACAACAACTATGCAATTCTACGTAATGCTGCTTTTAAGGTATATATGGCTAGAGACGTTGCATGTTTGTGCGCGCGTTGAACTTTGGCTTTATGGAAACAACAAAAGTATTAAAGCATAGATTCTAACCATTGCATTGCCGCGGCATTAAAAAAACAATCAATTTTTGAAAGAAAGCTTTTTCAGTTTATGACTTGAAATTTGACCTTAATGACATAATTGCATGCACTGAACGCTAAGAGAAATCTTGAAGCGCACGAAATAGCATTCGATTCGGCTAAAATGATGTAACCCCTCTACAAGCCTTCTGTTAAGGAACTGAATACGTTTCTAGGAATATTATGTGTTACACATTCGTCGCTTCTTCTATAAAGTTGTAACATTGCAAATGTTTAATCTAATGTTCTACCAAATCCAATGCGATTGAACAAAATTCCAGCAAACGTTCCAACGAACGGTAAATCAAAACGGTTGAACGCTTTTGGAACGATTTTCGAACTTTTTTTCTCGAGGCGTTCAAACGGGCAATTTCGAACAATGAACGATCTCGAAAATCGTTTCAACGAACGCAAGAACGCTTGAAGTGTTTAATTGAACGGGAAACGAATGAATAATGAACAATATTTTTCAAGGAACCAAATAGCGTTAACGTATGTTTATGTGTGGAAGGCCACACATAAACAACAAAGTAAATTGCTTCGCACGAGTGGCAAATCACAACTGTATGACTGTTACTGGTCTGCTTGCTTCTACTACCTATAATTAACTTCGTTGACTAGGTACATATGACATTGATCAAGTAGCTATTTATGTGTAGCTGTCAACGGAGCGTAATTAGCCCTAAAGCTGTTGGACTGCATGTATAATAACATATGTCTGCAGTCAGTGCAGTGGCATGACTGTGGCCATGTTCTTCAGGTATATTTTGCTATTGTTTTTACAATTTTACTCCATTTTATGATTTTAATATTATCCATGCTGTACTGGATAACGAAGCAATAAAGAGTAGTGTACGTGCGGATAGCGATCGAAGCTCTCGCTCCCTCATAGCTGAACATAAACAACGTATATAATGTTACACCCGCTACTTGCGTTTACCTGTTAATCATTTCCCCCCTCCCGGTATATCAAACATGCCCATGCGACAGACAGTTGACATATTTTACCGTTGTTTGATTTAAACACCAGTATCATGGTCTGCGATCAAAGGATTCCCCAAATCGTCTGGTTTCGTCCGTGAAATTGGGTATATAAATTCGTCAAACCGTTTATACGGATGAATAGGCCCATCCAAAAAAACGGTTCATTTTTCTGTGCGTTTAAACGGTTATTCGTATCCGTGCAAACGCTTTCACCAAAGCGTAAAAACGCTTTCTTGAAAGCGTTAAATTTTTTCATCGAACCGTTTTAACGTTTTAACGAAGCGTGAAAACGCTTTACGACATCCGTTTACTAACCGTTTGTAATCCGTTTTTTTGCCCATTTAAACGGAAAAGCGTTAATGTTGGTTTTCCCGTGGAGGGTCACATATTTGGTCACAGTTGCATATTTACAATTGCTTCTGCAGGACTATTTACAAAAACAACCAGACAAATATTCACAATTTTCGATAATCAATGTCAAGTTCTTATAATGCTACATTACAATTTTCGACAAGCAATGTCAAGTTCGTATAAATTTATTGACACAAACTCACTTCCCAGCATGTTCTTTCATGGCCATTTTTTATTATTTGTATGTCCTCATTTGTATATGGAGTCATCAACCCTAAGATAAATTTATCAATAATCATTAGTATTATTAGCAAGTCAAATCAGCCCACAAGGTTTCTTAACATAAAGAGGAGAGATTCTCCTTCAGTTAGACCTAAAGCAACCACTAGCTGTGCTCTGAATGTCTGTTTTGAAAAACAAATTGTTTATCAAATATCAATAACAGAAAATCTAGTTAGGTTACCAAAACTATAATAGGTACACTAAACATTGGATAAAGACAGTCTAAATTGCAGATTGTGGGGCAATAAACTACAGGTGACACTGTAAAACACCTCCTTGGGAAAATTATAGTATATTAATTGCATGATTTACCTGATTCTCTGTGCAGCTAATCTTGTTTCTTGTTTCTATCCTGTTCGAAAGAACCAATACATACTTCTTGGCACAATTTTTGGCATTCCTAATTGAAATTTGCCAGCCATACCATGGACCAATTTGTTCTTGCACATTTCACTTCCAAATTCTGCCTTTACCTGCAACAAAATAATAGAATGTGTTCAGTGAACTTTGTTATTTGACTAAAATATAAATGTGAATTTGAAAAATGACAGGCTAAAATGGGACTCTCAGGTATAAACCTGTAGGAGATTATATTTACTTATTTGTAGGAGATTAGATTTTATTACTTACAGTAATAATTTTATCAAAAGACATACACAGGCATTGATTTTAAACAAATAACTTGCCCTCTAAAATCAAATTTATCAAAATAGAGCAAGGGTTATCGTTAATATATTAAAATAGAGCACGGACAATCGTTGATATAGGATAAAATATTTGCAAAATTATGTCAATAACATAAGAGAAAAGCGAAGTCTGCGAAGACGCATCATAAAATTACGGTAAAGTAAATATGAATAGATACCTATTATTGCAATCATATTTTCTTTGACCACAGCTTGCTGAAGAGATCGCAGTAAAGTAGAATACGTCATTTAGCTTCTCTAGAATAAAAAAATAGCACACATTTGTTTGTTCAGCGATTTGGCCGTTTGACTTTGAGCGAACATGGATACTGTGTATGTCTGTATTTGATCAAATTCAAACACTTACCAAAATATTTCTGAGATAATACCACAACCAATTGCCTTGAAATTTCCTTATGGGCGCCCGTTGTTGTTAAGGATATTTAGAAGTACCAAAATAGTTGAGTAAATACGCTCAAAACGTCTTTAACACAGCAGCATAAACATCTCGATGAATATACGATTCAAAAGAGTTTTCAAACGACGCGCTCAAAAAATTTGCATACAAGCGCTGACACGTGTCATATTTCGTTCCTTATATGGACATACATAGTATGCCTATACGCGATTGCGAAATATTTACTTTGTAGCAATCAATACATAGCACAAAATAACATAGTTTGATAAAATAAAAAGGACAATGGATCACTATCGATGTATCTCGGGGTTTTTTTTATATAGAAACGTATCTGTCGTATTCATAGCAACAAGCCGAATTTCCATGTCGTTTTTTAGATGAATAGTTGTGCGAAAACGCACGGGAATTCTTTGTTCCAAAATCATCTCATTCGAAAATACAAATTTATTTTCCAATAGCTTGAATAAAATCAAACCTGCTCTTTCCCGGCCTATCCGCCATTTGGTGTTATTTTGACACACCATATTTAACTCCCTATATGGCGTTATTTTAACACTTTCCGTCGGTAAAAGAGGTGTTATTTTGGCACCTTGCAATGGTGCTGGTAATATGGTGTCATATTAGCACTTTTAGCGCCAATCCAAGATTTGGTGGTGTTAAATTAGCACCGAAGTTGGTGCCAAAATAGCACTTTCTATTTAACACCACTGCATGGTGTTGATTTGGCACCTACGGTGGTGCTATTTTGACACTTCAAAATTAACAGTGTATATCTTTTATTTTACATGTAATCGTCCTTCTCTATCTATTCACACATAATCATATTTTTTAGTTAATTTTTGCATATAGTTAAAAAATGTCACAGTCATTAAACACACTAATTGTCAATACTAATACTAATGCTAATTAAAATATTGTTTATCACGACCCCAATCTACTTGGGGCCTTTATCACACGCCCAAAGCGGGAATACTTTACACCGTCCAAGAGGGGGTTAGGGGTAAAAGGGTCAGGTTTTAAAATCGTCTGGCTTTTGGCAGCAACTATACGAGTACTACTACGAGTACAAGACTCGTTATTTTTGCGCGAAACTCGATGCTTTTGCCAAAGCCTGGCCGATCTGACGAAACACGTATAGTCGATAGACTTTTGAATACGAAATTAGGCCACAAACTTGTACTCAAAAGCTCGACTCACTACTATACTTTTAATGGGAGCGTAAGCAAACAACACAGAAGCATAGGCGTACGGGACAGGGGGTGGGGAGGCGCACTTGCCCCTCAAAATTTCGAGAATCGTGAAATTTGAGCAAAGTTCAGACGAAAATTCGGGCAAACTGAATTTTAAGACTTATGACAAAAAAGTGACGGATCGTACTCTTAGTTAGTGCTAAAGCTCCCTTATAATACTTCTCGATCCGGCGAACCGCCCTATATACTAATATTTATACGGCAGATAATATTACAAAACGCGTAAGAAAATAAAGACTATGAACAAGTTGGTGTGATCTCAGGTATTCTTTACGTTGGAGTTAAGTTTCAGTTTGCTTTTGAATGCATGAATCGACTCTGCCAGTTTGGTGTCGATAGGGAGACGATTCCATAACTTAGCTCCACTATATTTTAAGCTCTTTTTTAAAAATTCCCTTTTGGGCTTAGGAACAGCCAGATATCTGTATGACTATATTTCTAAGTTCATAGTTAGTTTGCATATGATTGCGTCTACTATATTTCAGTCGCCTAAAAAAATTGCAAGCTGTCTAAAACGTACTAAAAAATATCTTCTTGTAATAACAGATTGAATGTAATAAATAGGTAATAACAAAAAGTCGCTGCATGGTACAGAAAAATCACCCGTTCCCTTTTAGCAATCAATGACTGGAAAGCCGAAAGTACTACCTCAACTGTCAGTAAGGTCGTGCATGTACATACCGTATATTCTACACTGCCGGTTCACGATTTTTTATCTGTTTTGAGGATAATTGACCTTTCCGTCTATTGCACTGACTCGCTTTACTGTTTATTGCAAAGTTTTCTATACCATTAATTGCTAGTAATACCAACGCACGTACGAACTGCATACCAGATCTCAAATACGTTGTGGTCCGAAATAACACTAAATTACATCAGATATATATGTATATATAATGGGGGTAAAAGGAAATATGATATGAATTCATAAAAAGTGCCCTAGCAACCGCATAAAATAGGCATTCCTCAGCACTAAGCAGAAAATGTTAATAACGAAATATAAGGATAGATCTTTTCTCTGAAATTGGTTATCACCAATAACTGACATTAACTCAAACTTAAAATAAAAAAACTGACTGTGACTTTTATTACTATTTGCGTTAAAGTATGAAACGTGAAATATCTCACTGCTTTGTTTACGTTAATTAAAACACGACGTATTTTGATTAATCGTTCGAGTTCAAGTAAAAAAAAAAGTTAAGCATGAAGAATATAGACAATAAGTTATGCTAAACGAACGTTTGGCTACGCTAAACGTTTTCACACTTAAAAGTTAAAACAACACGTTCCATGATTAAACGTAGCATAAGGGGAGTAATAGTATATTGTCATGTAGGTATGACTAGTTACACACAAGTAAATATCATGAACGTGTTACATTTCATAACCGTTTTGACGCTCCAGTTGTGAACTATGTTAAGGCCCTGTCACACTGTTGCGTATCGCATTAGCGTATGGCAGCGTATGATAAATATTACGCATACGCCAGAATACGCTGAAATATGCTGGTGGTACGTCGTGCGTAAGTTATACACGTTCCAAGCACGGTCACATACGCTGGTATACGCTGAGGAAGAAAATTTTTTTTAAGCATGCTTAAAAATCTTGTGCGTGTTTGGACGTATGGTTTATACGGTAAAGATAAGCTAGTCATACGCTGAATACGGCAGAAGGACGCTAAATGTACTGTACTAATAGGTTGAGTACGCTAATCATACGCAAATGAGTAAGTGTGCCGTGCAACTAACGTGTTGATAGCGCATCAGTAACGAAGGTCTAACTTATGTGTGACGTATGTTTAACGTCTATAGAGGCCTTAGCGTATGACTGACGATTAAGTAACGCATTTACCGTAAAATTAGCGTATACTTATCGCCTGGTCGTCGTATCCTCAGCGTATTGCAAACGTTACGAGAAAGGGTATATAAATATTATAGCATGTCATTTATTGTGTATAATATATATTTATGTTGGATGCCTTCATATCATCTTGTCCCTTCGAGAATAAAGGATGGAGTTAGCTGTTCTTGAATACCAGTTTGATCTCATAGCTTTGACGATTCGTCACATAGAAAATAACAGAAGGAAAAGCAGAAAAAGAAAAAGACGTGAGGTATGGATAAGATCATGGATCGGAAGGCGAAGGCAGTTTGGCATTTACGACCAACTTCTGGTGGAACTCCGAAGCGAGGATACGCGATGTTTCAAGAACTTTATGCGGATGGTCCCCGAGATGTTTGAAGAGCGTCTGGCAAAAGTGAGTCCCAGGATCACCAAGAAACATACCTGGTATAGGCGACCCGTGGAGCCTGGGCTGATGCTCTCTTTGACTTTGCAACACCTTGCCTCTGGGGGCACGTATTCAGCCATGAAGTAGGGATGGAGGGTTTCCTACAACATTCAGTCACTTATTGTCAGAGAGTTTTGCCAAGCCATCATCGACGAATACATGTCCGAAGTAATGACCTGCCCTACCACGCCAGAGGGATGGCGTGCCATATCTGATAAGTTCCTCAAGAGGTGGAACTTCCCCCATACACTTGGTGCCATAGATGGAAAGCACATTGCCTGGAAGTGTCCACCAAAAAGTGGATCCCAATATTTCAACTACAAGGGATTCTACTCTGTTGTACTCATGGGCCTTGTAGACGCAGATAATAAATTCATCTGGGCAGACCTCGGTGGTAAAGGGTCATCATCGGACGCACAGATCTACAGCAACTCTGAAATCAAAGAATTAACAGAAAACGGAATTATAGGATTCCCCGTCCCCGATGCTTTATCAAATGACTATCAGAGTGTCCCCTACTTCTTTGTAGGTGACGATGCCTTTGCCCTCCGAGAGACAATGATGAAGCCATACAGCCGCCGTGATCTATATCATGAAGAGAGAATATTTAACTGCAGGATTTCCCGCGCCAGAAGAGTAGTTAAAAACGTTTTCGGCATCCTGACGAATCGTTTCCAGGTTCTGTTAACTACAATGCAGCATCACCCTGCTACAGTGAAGCTCATCGTTAAAGCTTGTATTGTCCTGCAAAATCTCATGAGGATACGCTACCCTGAATTACAGAACCAGCATCTAGACCATGCAGAGAACATGAACAAAAACTTCATTCCTGGATCATGGAGACAAGACAGAAATTTGCTCGACACACATACAGTTGTTGGGAGAAACACATCCACCGACAAAGGAAAGGGGCTAAGGAATCTGTTGAAGCACTGGGTCAACTCAGAGGCAGGTGCAGTTCCATGGCAAGACAGAATGATTTAGATCAAATTATTGTAAATGAAACTAAACCACAACAAAACTTTTTGTAGATGTCGAAACACATTTCAATTATATACTCACTCCAACATTATTACTGCAAGATTTTAGAATATATACAATGTTGTCCTTTAGACAAGGGTGTAAATGCAGTGTGTATTATGAAATTATGAGAAACAAAAAATGAGAATTTAATTTTGACATGTCGATTATCGTGAGAGTTACTACAGTAACAAAATAGTCAATACTTCTTTCACGTTGGTGGTCAAAGGTTGAGAACCTCATCCTGAAATCCAAAATCATCAGTAGATTCCATGATGTCTCGAAATCCTGAAAGACTAGTAATTTTTGGGTGACTTTGCTCAAAGGCTGAGCTTGGACTGTGCGGCGTTGGGCTAGACGTTTCCGTTATTAACTCTGTTGCAGAAGCCAAAGAGGCACGAACCGGGCCAGAGGTAGGAGTGCATTGTTGCTGAATTTGCTGAAACGGTTGCTGAGCAAGTTCTTGGGCAGGAGGAATCATCTGCTGTTGTTTAGTGGTAGTCTAGTGATGATGTGGATACAGTGGCGTAGGAACCATATTTAAGTTGGGGGGGGGGGCATTAACGTCTAGGGCACTTGCCTGATGAAAAGGGCATTTAACATTGCCACGTATTATTGTTGAAAAAAGTTGAATTATATTATAATTTGTTGCGTTGGCATAGACGTTTCCACAAAGAAAAAGGGCACTTTACCTCAGCAAAAGGGCACTTTTTCTATTATTTTTGAAAGTTGGGGGGGGCCTTGGCCCCCTTGGCCCCCCCGGTTCCTACGCCCCTGTGTGGATACTGAAATAACCGCTAATGAAACTGCAGCATGTACTCCATGAGCTGTGAGCCTCTGTGAAGCTGGATGGTTTCCTTCACTTAGAAAGACCAAAAATATCATGTGGAAATTGTCTCAAATTACTTGGTCATCATGTTGCTAAGGTAATATGGCTGTCTACTTACACTCTGCATGGGCTCCGGTCGGGGGCGAGTGACAGTCTTCAGGAAGGTAAACTTTGAGAGGATCCACTGTTCTCTCTCAGTCAGGTTTGGAGCACTATCCCCGCTTTTCTTCTTGTCAAGGCGCGTATGGGTGTCATGCAACGATCTGAACCAGCCCTTGAGGATGTCAACAGTCTTGTTCATCTGATGTGCTTGCTCTTCCAGATCTTCTCTTTCTTGTCTTTCCGCCTATAATCTGTCATCTTCACATTCCACAGCACAGGATTGTCCATGATAAACTCCAACATCAGCTCTTCTTCTGTGGCGCTGAGGTTGTAGGGGTTTTTCTTCGCCCTCTTCCTCTTATTTTTCTCCTTGCTATCAGCCCGCCGGAAGGAGGTGAAGTCAGCAATGGTTTCAGATGATAAAGCCGATGAATTATGGGAGTCTTGGAAAGGTTGTGTTGGGGACTTTGAGAGCTCAGGAACATGTCGCGCATTATTTAAAGATGTCTCAGGAATAAGTGCATCATCATCAGGTGGTTCAACTACACCTGCAGGTGCACAAACACGTTGTTCGTCAGCTTTGGAAACGGCTGATGATCGAGTCCTCTTTCCTTTTCTTCGTCCGCGGGTAGATGATGTCTTCTTATTTGCCATGGTTTTTTCTGATACTGCCGCTTATATACGATTAAAGGCTGTGAAACGCCAGTGGTATACTTGACATGCGCATTCCAAACGCTTCTCGTAAGCTATTCATACGCTTGCATACGCCAGCGACAGGCCACTCATACGATACTCATACGTTTAATAAGTTAATTTTATGCAAAATGTCCTATTTTTACGGACTTTTTCGTGCGTATAAAAATGAATGAAATGATCTTTATACGCGACTCATACGTTCCTATCATACGCAACAGTGTGACAGGGCCTTTAAGAAGCTGTCAACTGGGCGCGGAAGTTGTAACTTCCCTTTCGTAATTCGCAACGCAGTTCCAAAGTTCAAATCGCACTTCAAAGTGAATTTCAATGCAGCAAAGAAATATTTTTGTAATTGCTTTGCCATGGTATTTTATAGTGGCCATTTTATAGCGATTTATAGTCAAATTGCCTGCAAAGGTCGATTCGAACTTCGGAGCTGCGTTGTGAATTTCAAAACGGAAGTGACGACTGCCCATGCACTTGAAAGCTTCCAAACATAGCCAACTTTGAAAGCGGCCAAAGTTTTCAAATAAACTGTAAGACTATGTGCACACGGTAACGTTTTCGAGCGTTTTCATTTTCGTTTTCATGCCAAAACGGTCTCAAACATCGTCAAAAAACAATAGAAGTTGAAGCTAATTTAACATATTGAGAATATTTTCCTTTGGATAGTGTGGACAGGGCGTCAAAGCGATAGACTAGATAAAAACGATTTTGAAAACGCGCGAAAACGACGCTCGTGTGCACATAGTCTAAGTAAACAGATTTGGAAGAAGTTACAATGCAGGGATGCCTTAAGTCAGGATTTAAGAACAGAAGTCATAGACTAAATTATTGGCGAAGGAGTTGTTTCGACGACAGGTTACATTCCTGTGGATTATGCAGAATTATCAAGAGTATTACAGAAGATTAAACTATACATGATGAAGAATATCTAATCAGGTAAGCCTACTCGCCGAAGCGATTTTCAGTAGGGACCTGGTACAATGAATTATTACAAAAAACATATCGCATTTTATCAATCTCTATTCTTATAACATCAATCAAATGGTCAAGTAAATTAGGTTTGTTTGTTTTTTTAATAAGTGCGCCCAATATTTACATATATAAGATAATATAAAATTGTTTTTATCACAAATGGGGGCTAGGAGCCTACCAGAAACCATATGGCTTTTATTTTAACTTTTATATTGACGGTTGAGTTAAACTTGCACACGTCATCAACCAGTGGGCTGATCCTTATCCAACTAATCAGAGGTGTAAGTTAGAAATGTGGGTTCGTCTTAGAAGCTCGTTCCAGCTCTCATATCTTGGTATATCTGGGTATATAAATCAACCAATATCTGTATGGGTATGCAATATCTGGGTATATCTGGGTGTATAAATGAACCAATCAAAAGCCAGATCTTCAACAAAACTGAATTATCATTTCCTTCATTGCATATATGACTTAGACACTCCAAAATACCAAGTAATTTTATTATATTTAAGCGAAAACACGCTTAATTTTTCTCAACTGTAAATTAAAATTTAAATTTTCTCCTTTCATACTATTAGTTAGAAGAATAAGGATAAATAACACCAGGCTTTTAATGAAGTCAAGTCTGATTTCACAGGTCATAAATTAAAATTTGAGGATAGTGGTAATTCAGATTTATTAGTATGTTTCAACATTTGCCACTTATTTCACAGCTGAAATTGTACTCCAAAACTCCAACATTTGCCCTAATCATTTAGGCAGCACAGAAATCTTTCGCTTCTCGTGGCGCTCGCGCGTGTACGCGAGTCTACACGGTCTATTATTATGACAAGGTTGCCAAGTTTTCTTAACGAAATATACTACAACGTTTACTACGGCCAGAATATCTTGAAAATCATTTACACAAAAAATTTACACAGAATTAATCAAATCCTCTCTTTCGGACTCATCTATTATTTCATTACCCAAATACACTACTCTACATGCATAAAAATACCATTGACATTATCTAATAATAGAATCTAGTATAATAACAAACGTACTATATCTATATATCGCGCGGGTTTTGATTGGTTACGCTAATGACAGCTCCATTTCGCCATTGTTGTAAGTACAACTCCCTTTATAACTCGTTCTCTAAGTGTTCATCAGTTTTTAAACTTTTATAACGTCAGCTCTTGACAAGACGAAAATAATTCGCACTACACTAAATTTTTTAAGATAATATTACCAAATATTCGTCTGCGTCACTTTCAACCAATCACATCGCAGTATTTTCAACTAAATCTTTAGTGACGTAACCCAAGTTATCTGCAGCTTCTTCTGACTCATAACGGTTTTGTTTGAGACCGACATAATCCAACTCACCGTAAACTGGATTTTTAATTGTAGTTTGCGGATTGGAATCAGGTTCAATATTCCTTCTTCTCAACTTTCGACGACGATAAAATATCACGACACAGGCAATGATAATCCCAGCGATGATGACTGCTGGTATTATCATAAATATCGGCCATTCAGCTGCGCTGTCCGATTCACCTTCTGACTTTGATTTATCTGAAACTGAAAATTAACGAACTTTGTCAAATTCAAATAATCTTCAATTCATACGCAGCTCTAATGTAAGAGCGGATCGGGTTTTCTGCATAGAGTACATAATTAATGCTATACAAAACGGACATTTTGTGCAGTGATCAAATCATTTTGGCGGTACACAGTACTCATTATAAGTATATTTTTTGTATCGATTTACGCGTCGAAGTATTCACATCCTAGACATAATATGTACCGCGGTTTATTTACATTATTTACAACGCAACTATTGTGGCTATTCTTATAAAATGATGGATAAATTGTTGCGATCATATAAATGTAGTGAATGTATTCACAGTTGTTTGACGAAGAAAAGAGACTAAACTGAGAAAATCGCGCCTGGTTTATACATGAGCAACTGGCAAGCTCAGAAAATCACTTGTTTCGTTTCAAATGACATGGGGTTGCTACATGCTTCTATTTCTAGTATACTATGAAATGAAATCGTACATACTTTTTGTACAACCTGGAGAAGTATACTATATAAATTATGTCTACATCTTTACGTCAGTAAATGCATAATCTCTCACCTTTTGCTTTACATTCAACTCCGACGTCATCCTTATGCGAGCAGTGATCATCCCCCCAACTACTAAGAGAACAATCCACTATACTTTTTTCTTTCCCTGTGCAACGGACGTAATCTAACCATATCTTGCCAGAACCGGATGGAACCTCGTTTTTTCGAAGAGTCCTAACAGCAGCCGGATATCCAAGTTGACGACACACAACCCTAGCCTCTTCTATATCCCATTTGCTATCACAGATTGTTCCCCAATATCCACGATATTGTACTTCAACACGACCAATCCCAATTGCACTTGATGGTCCTTGCAACCTAAGTCTCACAGGTAGAGCTGAAAAATCTTAAAAAAATTAGAGAAAATGGTTGATATAAAGTGCTGTGGAGAAGTGTTCTTTAATAAAAATTATATTGATAAATAAGATATTGGCCTTCGTAGGGGCTTTCTATTTGGGAGCCGGGCTTTATTTGCAACGTGTTTAATTGTCTTCGCGTTTGAAGCGCAATTTGGCTTTACGTATAAAGTTCATAAAGATCAGCATCCATTAAAGTAAATTTCCACCACTTGTTCGTTTATAGCCATGTAGTGTTCAAGACAATAAAGACAAACGCTGGGAAACATAAAAAAATTAAGAATGGGCTCCACCTTGCGGCAACCGGGCCAGCTTGCTTGGAGTTCCGTTGGATCCCGCTAAGCAAGATCTCGCCTCTTTCAAGCGGCATCTCGCCAAAAGCTTGTCCATATAAACGAACAAAAGTTTTTATTAGGAATCGCAATCATGGCGAGGTCTTGCGGCCATGGCAGGCCAGCTCGGCTTCCAAATAAACACCCTCTTAATCAATAAAAAGATTCCAACATTTAAAATCCTATACTTATATAGCAGTGAAAATGCCACAAAAGAAATCACTGTAAAATGATCGAGGCCTCTTGCTGCCAATATTGTTCACACTTGTCAACAACATTGAACAATACTGTTGAAAATGAATATCGTTCAAAGTTAATTAAGCATTGTGAATATTGCTCAATATTAATAATATTTCTGAACAATTTGGGCAGCACAACATTGTTAAATGCACAACATTGTTAAATGCTAATATTGAAGCTACTGTATCTAATCTTTTTCAGTCGTGCAGTTTACTGAATTTATCATCTACTTGTTAAGCATCAATACTTTATGATTTACGCGCTAAAGACCGAGGTTAAAAATATTTTCTCATATTTGAAACTGTATATACGTTAGATATAATTGTATAGCATGATTAGACTACCGAGCTTTACTGATTTTTTCTTTAATTTACCTATCCTGGAGCACTGAACCCCTGCCACTCGATCACGGGCGCAATTACTAACTCCCCAATCATGTCTACAACTTGTAATTGTTTGTTCGTCCCCATCACAACGGACGCGTGCTAACCATAACGGCCCAGTACTTGGAGCAGGCAGATCGAAATCAAGAGTCTTTGCATCATCTGGATCATATCCAAGTTGACGACACACAACCTCGGCATCTCGATCATCCCAAAAAAAATCACATATTGGCCCCCAATAGCCATGATAAAATACTTCAACACGACCAGTACCATTAGCACTTAACGGTCCTTGTAATCTTAGTCTCACAGGCATAGCTGAAAAATCTTTAAAAACAGTGTAGCGTATGAAATTAATTTAAATGCATTAAATAGGTATGCATATAATAATTATGTACTAATTAAGTAGGTATATGCATGTAAGTATGTAGATTGCTTAGCAAATATCGTCCACTACAGTTTGTTTGGTAAAGATATCATCAGGTGGTAGACAGATAACGAAAAGGTGTTGTTTAAGTAGTTCAAACAAACAACGTTCTCCTATGCGAAAATTACATCTTTTCATCCGTGTACGAAATTGTGCTTTTTATAATTTTGGTTGGAATCTTGCATGGGTGTTGTTTTTCAATTGGCCAATATTAATTTTTCTCGAACGTTTAGTTATTTAAGTCCAATGTATAAAACATTTAACATGATTCCTATATTGCTCTTTTAATGTAGCAAATGTATAGAGTTTGTCCTGTTGGACTTCGGAAAACGTCAACAACCCGCACCCTTAAAACATCCCTTCATTTCAATAAATTTAACTGAATAAATAAACATCAATATATCTTTAAAGAATAATCTTGAAACGTCGAACTTTTCATGTGCCTAACCTAATGTTGATGAGCTATCGTAGTAGCTGTATTATGAATTCAATTTACAAGTGTTCTTTGAACATGAAGACTTCAGGAAATAATTTTAAGAAAATTTCAGGCAGAGGAAAATAATATTTCAAATAATATTTTTTTTGTAGTTTGTAAACTCGTATAAGGGCCGGCCTGAAACATTTTCCCGACGGAGGCACACAAAACTATTTCTCTGTTTTTGGTTGCGTAGTACAAATTTCAACGACAAATTGGAAAATTAAAGTCTTCGTCACACAAATCAGATTAAAGTGGAAGTCAAGTCCGTATGTAAACATATGGTTTGTTTACATTTTGAACTTCTAAATACAATGGCTTTGTGAATATCTAATACTATATTTAGGTTATCTACACTTCTAAACGAACGTGAAGTATATATACAGTGTTTATTCTCATTGGAAACATGCGAAATTTAGGCAATTCGTACTTGAGAGGGTCCTCCATGGTCGGCGTTAGATCATATCGAACTAACGTACATGACGTCATAAAATTTTCAATAACCTTAACCCTAACCGTAATTAGGGTAAAGCCAGAGATACTATTACATAAGTATATGATCACTCCTATACTGGGTATGAGGGTAACAGACATTTACACTTTCGTGTACATTTATAAATGTATAAATGTATCATCATTCATCGCCATTTTTATTTTATCATTTTTACGAACCAGCTCTAGAAAGACTTCATGTAGGACTTCTGTTATTATACTTCCGTTATTGCAAAATTTATGACCTCATGTACGTTAGTTCGATATGATCTAACGCCGACCGTCCTCCATTGTTACGAGCAGAGCGGACTTGACTTCCACTTTAGAAAAGAATGAAAATACACGGCGCAGTTTCTTGACAGAATATCATGAAGCAGATATAAGATACAGTTCCGAAAAAAATTAAAATGTAGACCACATGAATGTACACAATTATGGAGTTGAATTATTGCAACTTCATACCTGTCGTACTGCATTCTACACCAGCGTCTACAGCATGATCACAACCGGGAGCCCCCCAACCAGGATGAGAACAGCTTGTGATATTTTGTTCTTGGCCAGTACAAGCGACGTTGTGTAACCATATCTGTCCTGAACCAGAAGGAACCTCGCTCCTCTGAAGAACTCTGGCAGCATCTTTATAACCAAGTTGACGACATACAACCCTAGCATCTTTCATATCCCATTTAAGATCACAAATTGTCCCCCAATATCCATGATACGATACTTCAACACGACCAATACCTTTCGCGCTCAATGGACCTTGTAATCTTACACGGACAGGCATAGCTGATAAATCTGAAAAGAACAACGAAATTTATCAGACAATGTAAGGTAAAATTGGAATGAAGAGTTGCAACTCTTAAATGTATCCAATTATTGAATGTAATTATTCTGTAACATTATATACCTGTTGTACTACATATTACGCCAGCGTCTTCACGATGAGAGCAAGGATCAACACCCCAACCACTATGAGAACAACTTGTGATATTTTGTTCTTTTCCAGTGCAAGCGAGGTGAGCTAACCATACCTGCCCAGAACCTGATGGAACCTCGCCTCTTTGAAGAGTTCTAGCAACATCTTGGTAACCAAGCTGACGACATACAACCCTGGCATCTCTCATATCCCACCCACTATCACAGATTGTCCCCCAATATCCGTGATAGAATACTTCAACTCGACCAACGCCATTTTTACTCGAAGGCCCTTGTAGTCTGATCGATACAGGCGTATCTGTAAAGTCTTATATAAAATATATGATGTAAAATATATGGTGATATAAAATATTCGTGTTGTCAGCAGAGTCATATATTATAATTTCAACAGTGGAGGTAAATTTCAATATGGCATTCGGTGCTTTTTCAAACTTTTTTTGTCGTTTTTTGTCTTCACTATTTTTTGTTTGTGACGGCAGAAGAGCAAACGCCTGGATGGTATCACACAGAGAAGTGGTAAAGTTATTACTCTGAGTGAATCAATTTGGTTGCGAGACCTTTTTCAAGGCATCGTTTGCGGTCTGCATGAGTTAAACTGAATGAATGAATAAAGGACTGTTTGTCGACCACTGGATCGGCGTATAGAGCAGCCTTTTCGCAACGTTTTAGTGTTCGAAATATTTTGTTTTATTTCATATTTCTACGTTCGGCCAACTGATTGTGTTTAAATGTGCATATTAGGCTTGATGCATGTGGTCGCTGCATGCTTCACCGCTCGCGGATCATAAATATACGAGTATGCCCAACATTACATGCACAACATAAATATACTGTATGAGTATGCCCTCTCCCACTTGTAATTGCCTATACTGGTGACAATTTCGTAAGCAAGGGTTCTGTGAATAGAATAAACTCTTTTGGATCTTTCTATTTATTCGGTTGTGAAATGTTGTTCGCATGTAAACACGTCACGTCTTTCTTAATGGGCATATGATCGCCAACTTAAGTTATACCTTTTGTTGTACATTTCACCTCGACATCCTTTCTGTGCCAGCAACTATGAGAACCCCAACCGCTGTGAGGACAGTATGTTATATTTAGTTCGTCGCCATTGCAATCCACATCAGACAACCATATTCTCCTAGAACCAGAAGGGACCTGGCCATCATGAAGTGCTCTTGCAGCATCTTTGTAACCAAGCTGACGACAGACAACCCTAGCATCTCTCAAGTCCCATCCATCATCACAAATCGTTCCCCAAAGTCCATTGTAGAATACTTCGACACGTCCAGTACCATTTACACTAAATGGTCCTTGTAACCTTAGTAACACCGCTGCAAAATAATAAAAGAATATCGCAGTGTATGTACGAAATAATAATTTTTTTTATGGTAAAGAACTTTTACAACCAAATGGAGACCGTGAAATTTATGTTCAGACGAAATACGTTTACTCATCGATTTAAACTTTACAGCATTAAATTGAAACACTTGTATATTTCACTATAGCTAGATTCCATTAATTTTGTGTCTCTCAACGCATGACAAGCCTGTGATATAATTGAATGATCGGGTTTTATCATTGATACAGCTTGTTTTTTCCTCGTTTTGTATTTTATAGCTGCGAACAACAAGGGATTCGATTTTGTTCTAAATCACATGAAAGGTCATTTCTCTGTGTGACTGAAATAGGATTTCGGACAGTTTTCATTTGCGTAGTTTAGAAATTATGATGTCTCAAAACATGCCTGGAAGTATTTGCAATGAAATACGCAGGGCATTGTAAGACAACCTCATACCAGAATCGATTTAATTGAATGATTTTATTCATTAATAAAATAAAATACTTTTACCTGCTGTTAAACATTCAACTCCGGCGTCTTCGTGATGAGAGCAAGAATGAACTCCCCAACCACGGTGCGAACACTGTGTTATGTTTTGTTCTTTCCCAGTACATTCGACGTCATCTAACCATATCTTCCCAGAACCAGAAGGAACCTGGCGACCGTCAAGAGCTCTGGATGAATCCACGTAACCAAGTTGACGACAAACAACCCTAGCATCTCTGATATCCCATCCATCTTCACAGATTGTTCCCCATTGTCCACGATAGAATACCTCAACACGACCGGTGCCATTCGCACTTGATGGTCCCTGTAATCTAAGTCTTACAGGTATCGCGGCAAGATCTTAAAATAATAGACTAGTCATTACAAAAAGAACTGTTAAGGTATCTAGCAAGTTTATGTATTACTCTGTATATATATATATATATATATATATATATATGCATTAATATCTTGGAAAAATAGGGAGAAGTAAGGAAATAACGTGGCATTATAGTAGCCGTAGTTATTATTATATCCATATATATGCGCATTTAACATTGATAAAGCGCTACCAAATCTTGAAATATTGAAAAATATTTGTTTCATTTAACACCAAAAAAAACACCAGGAGCATTCTTATGTTATTAAATATTTGTCAAAGCAGTTTGTATATACGACATTATAGGCCTACTGTAGGTATATGGCATACAATACTTCACTGCTGTCAGACGTACATTCAAAATATTCTCTAAGCTGTATAGAAAATGATTATGCAAAGCACTTCTATACTGAGAAAAAAAACAACGAGCAGTGGAGAATTTAAAAGTAAAGTAAAAAAAATCCAAAATTAGAAGACGTTTTTTACAGTTAGTATAGCCTATGATTCAAACAAGACTCAGGTTGAAACTGTAAATTTTTATTTGAAAGAGAGAATCATTTCATTCATCCTCATCAAATGCATTCTGCCTTCTGAAAATAGCTTTACAATACCTTCAATCATATCATTATTGTTGACACTCAAGATGTCTTCAATTTTCGAAATTTTTTTTAAATTTACTTTCATAAGGTTCACATGCATGCAGAGAAAAAGATGAGAGGATTACAAACAACATTTTACGATTTTTTTACCCGTATTTGTGCATTCAACTCCTGCGTCTTCATGATGTGAACAATGATGATTTCCCCAACCATCGTGGGAACAACTTGATATATTTTGCTCACTTCCGCTACAAGAGATCTCAGATAACCATATTTGACCTGAACCAGGAGGAACCTCGCTTCTCTGAAGAGTTCGAACGACATCTCTATAACCAAGTTGACGACAAACAACCTTAGCATCTCTAATATCCCATTCATCATCACAGATTGTTCCCCAACGTCCATTGAAGAACACCTCGACACGTCCAGTACCATTCGCACTAAATGGTCCTTGTAACCTTAGTGACACCTCTGCAAGATAGTAAAAGAATATCGCAGTGTGTGTACGAGGTATTAATTTTTTTGTGGTCAAGAAATGTGACCACCAAATGGAGACCGTGAAATTTATTTTGCGACAAAATATGTTTACTTATCGATTAAAATTTTACAGCACTTAATTGAAACCCTGCAATATTTCACTACAGCTAGATCATGCAAATCTGTAAATCAATATGACGTCTCCAAACATCCCTGAAAGTATTGATATACGCATGGCATTGTATAAGACAGCCTCATGCCAGAATCGATTTAATTGAACGAGTTTAATTATTATAAAAATTAAATACTTATACCTGCTGTTAAACATTCAACTCCGGCGTCTTCGTAATGAGAGCAAGAATGAACTCCCCAACCACGGTGTGAACACTCTGTTATGTTTTGTTCGTCCCCAGTGCATTCCACGTGAGATAACCATATCTTCCCAGAACCAGAAAGAACCTGGCGACCGTCAAGGGCCCTAAATGAATCTATGTAACCAAGTTGACGACAAACAACTCTAGCATCTCTCATATCCCATCTATCATCACAGATTGTACCCCACTGTCCACGATAGAATACCTCAACACGACCAGTGCCATTCTGACTTGATGGTCCCTGTAATCTAAGTCTTACAGGTATAGCGGCAAGATCTTAAAAGAACAATGGAATGCATCAGATCAAACAAGTATTCGTAAGCAAATTACAACGAGAACTACTTACGGTATTTGGCAAGTTTATAATTAACTCGGTATATATAGTATAATGCATTAATATCTTGAAAAAATAGGGGGAAGTAAGGAAATAACGTAGCATTAGTAGCCGCAGTTATTATTATATCCATATATATGCGCATTTAACATTGATAAAGCGCCACCAAATCTTGAAATATTGAAAAAATATTTGTTTTATTTAACATCAAAAAACATTTGGAGGGGTCTTATGTTATTAAATATATGTCGAACAGTTTCTATATAGGACATTATAGGCCTACTGTAGGTATATGGCATACAATACTTCACTGCTGTCAGACGTACATTCAAAATATTCTCTAAGCTGTATAGAAAATGATTATGCAAAGCACTTCTATACTGAGAAAAAAAACAACGAGCAGTGGAGAATTTAAAAGTAAAGTAAAAAAAATCCAAAATTAGAAGACATTTGTCACAGTTAATATAGCCTATGATTCAAACAAGACTCATGCAGGTTGAAACTGTAAATTTTTATTTGAAAGAGAGAATAATTTCAATCATCCTCATCAAATGCATTCTGCATTCTGAAAATGGCTTTACAATAACCTTCAATCATAGCATTATTGTTGACACTAAAGATGTCCTCAATTTTCGAAACTTTTTTTTTAAATTTATTTCTATAAGGTTCACATGCATGCAGAGAAAGAGATGAGAGGATTACAAACAACATTTTGCGACTTTCGTATTGATTGCTATTTTTTTACCCGTATTTGTGCATTCAACTCCTGCGTCTTCATGATGTGAACAATGATGATTTCCCCAACCATCGTGAGAACAACTTGATATATTTTGCTCACTTCCGCTACAAGAGATCTCAGATAACCATATTTGTCCTGAGCCAGGAGGAACCTCGCTTCTCGGAAGAGTTCGAACGGCATCTCTATAACCAAGTTGACGACAAACAACCCTAGCATCTCTTAAATCCCATTCATCATCACAGATTGTTCCCCAATACCCGCGATATAGTACTTCAACACGACCAGTGCCATTCGCACTTGACGGTCCCTGTAATCTAAGTCTTGGAGGTACAGCGGCGAGATCTTAAAAGAATAGTGGAATGCATGAGATCAAAACAGTATTCGTGAGTACATTATACAAAGAAAACTTATTAGAGTATTAAATAAGTTTACTTATTATATGGCACGCGGCCTCGTGACTTAAATGGCGTGCGCTGATCGGTTCTGATTGGTCGAAGCCCGTGTTTGGATCAGGCGATCGAATCACGGAAATTTAAAGTTCTAATTAATTTAAATTTAAATTCAGGCCTTGTCGTTGTCGTTATTTTATAAGTCTATGGCGAGTGTTTTGCGAGCTATTCTTAACTCGAGCAACATTCCCAAGTGTTTGGACCAGGCGATCCAAACACGGAAACCATTAAGTAATTATATATTGCTGCACGGTAGGTAAAATCGAAATTTTTATCAAAAATGTGTTATGTAAAAAAACATATTGAATATATTTTCCTGCGAGAAATTCCTATTTTTAACGCTTGTATTTCGTCTTAGCGGTAAAAAGCGTGTTGTCTTAAATTAATCTCCCACAAATTTATAAATTATTAGCTATATATAAATATTATAAAGTTTTTCGCCACCAGGGAAAATCGTATTAATTTAATGTATGGATTTTTGGTGATACAAAATATAACCACTTTAATTTGTTATCGTCCTGTTTTAAAACTCAAATCTAGGGTTTACCACATGCTGTGATTTAGAGTATGTTTTTTCTTAAATGCTCATAAAATTTTGAGTAATGTAGGCACATACACGCCATTTCCACTTTTCATCGGAACGATGGAAACGAACCCCAGACGTATATATTCCTTAATCCTATAATCTCTACGTTGTATATAAGACTGAGACGGTATAAGACTCCGAAATTAGACTGAGACGTTTCGAGAGTCATGCAGTATAGTCTATGACTCAAGCAAGACGTAGGCTATAAACTATTGCGTTCGCTGTTCGTTTCTCTTTGTTCGTTGCCCGTTGCCTGTTGCTCATTGCTTACAGTTTAAACTTTACATCAAAATACACACGAAAAAACCATTTAGTATTACTTTAATATAGTTGCATTAATTTATTTTATAACTTACCTATCCTGGTGCATTGTACACCTGCCACTCGATCACGGGCGCAATTACTAACTCCCCAATCATGTCTACAACTTGTAATTGTTTGTTCGCCCCCCATACAAAGGACGCGTGCTAACCATAACGGTCCAGTGCTGGGGGCAGCCAGGTCGAAATCAAGAGTCTTCGCATCATCTGGATCATATCCAAGTTGACGACACACAACCTTGGCACCCTCATCATCCCAAATAAATTCACATATTGGCCCCCAATAGCCATGATAAAATACTTCGACACGACCAGTACCATTTGCACTAAATGGCCCTTGTAATCTTAGTCCCACATGTGAAGCTGTAAAATCTTTGAGAAATAGCATAGTTTATATTAATATCTATGAAAGATGCAGTTAAAACTAATTATAATGTTTAACCGAAGGGGCACAATGAGGGTGTTAAGCGCGTCAAACCTATATTAAATACTTCATGAAAACAACAAATATTACTCCTTTTTACACCACGTGGTTAATATTTATTCATTCTAATTGGGTTACTGAAAATGTGAAAAGAATTCCTGATGGTCTAAAACATGGCTTAAAGCGAAACTGCTCTGTTTTCTTGTAAATTAAACATTGTTTTTTAAAAAATATTACCATGGCTGGACTGGCTACACTACAACAGGAGCGTAGGAATAAGCTCAAGATTGGGGGCGGGGGTTCCACGTTCACGAGGCGCCACCATGCTTGGCGCCGAGCGAAGAAATTTCTGAAATTTGATTGCTTTAGATCCTTGTTTTTAGAGTTGTTTTGAGAGCAATTGCGCTAGATGATAGCAATTGCTGCTGTCTTTCTCATTGAACTGTAAACAAACTGGAAGGATAACTCAGTGGGTGGGGTGGTGTAATTGAAGTCACTGCTTTTTACTTTTTCTCAGTTTTAAGCTGAAATACTTGACTCCAAATGTTTAGCTGTATATGAAATTGAAGCGATTAAAAAGTTATATTTGGTGTAGAAATTTCGAGACTTTAGCCTAGAGGGAAATATCTAAAAAATATTTGAAAATTTCCTGGTTTTTTTGCCGCGGTTGGTAATTGTTTTCGTTTTTTAAAATATTTCCTTTGTAGTTTCAGTCTTGAAATTTCTACCCTAAATATAATTTTTCAATAGTTTTAATCTGTTTTTTTAATCTGTTTTGTGAGTGTATCGTATAAATTTGCGGAAACGGGGTCATAACCTACACAAATCGTATTATTGCACGTCATTAGCACTTTCATACCTGTTGTACTGCATTCTACACCAGCGTCTAGAGAATGATGACAATAAGAAATCCCCCAACCAGGATGAGCACAGCTTGAGATATTTTGTTCTTTGCCAGTGCAACCGACGTTAAATAACCATATCTGCCCTGAACCAGAAGGAACTTCGCTCCTCTGAAGAACTCTTGCAGCATCTTTATAGCCAAGTTGACGACATACCACCCTGGCATCTTTCATATCCCAGTTAGGATCACAAATTGTCCCCCAATATCCATGATACGATACTTCAACACGACCAATACCTTTCGCGCTCAGTGGACCTTTTAATCTTAGATTGACTAACGTAGCTGATAATTCTTAAAAGAACAAGCAAATGTACGAGATCAATGTAAGCTAAAATTGGAAAGAATAGTTGAAAATCTTGAATTTAGCGATTTATTGAATGCAATTATTCTGTAACATTATATACCTGTTGTACTACATATTACGCCAGCGTCTAGATAATGAGAGCAAGGATCAACACCCCAACCACTATGAGAACAACTTGTGATATTTTGCTCTTTCCCAGTGCAAGCAAGGCGAGCTAACCATACCTGCCCGGAACCTGATGGAACCTCGCCTCTTTGAAGAGTTCTAGCAACATCTTGATAACCAAGTTGACGACATACAACCCTGGCATCTCTCATATCCCATGTATAATCGCAGATTGTTCCCCAATATCCATGATAGAATACTTCAACTCGACCAGTACCATTTCTACTCAAAGGCCCTTCTAATCTGATCAATACAGGCGTATCTGTAAAGTCTTACATGATATAAAATATTAGTATTGTACGGCATTCGGTGATTTTGTCGTTTTTTGGTCTTAACTATTTTTTGTTTGCGACGGCAGAAGATACTGAAACGCCTGGAAAATAAGTTGTTACTTATGGTGAATCAAATTGATTGCTGCCATATTCATTGCAAGTCAACGAACTATAAAAGATTCATCTGAAGTAAATTGGCTTCTACACTGAAAATTGGATCGTGTGACGGTGTGGGCATGCAGTCTTTAACCAATGCGAAAGATTACATCTTGAAAAAAAAATGTTTTTTTAAATTCGACAGATTCGAAAATTCAGTGGCCAAAACGTTTTAAAAAGAAGCTTGATCTACAGGTCAATATGTTGACGCTTTACGTCCTACATTTTATCAGGGCGCCTATAAGATAGGGCGGCGAAACACACGGATGGCGTGTTGAAACATGTGTGATGTGCAGACCCCCCATGAAGATTCGAAAAACTGTTTTCAAAATGGCGGCGGGTTACTTAGATGACGAAGAACTTGAGATGTTTATAAGTTTGGATGACACTGATCTGGCAACAAATGACACAAATTCGTCATTTCCAGTTGCAAATACTGTTAATTTCAACGTAAAGGAATTAATTGCTGTTCTTGAAAGGGTTTCTTCGTGTTTTTTATACTCGTCCCAGTCCGCTGGTTACCAAGACAAGTTTGTAAACATGGTTCCGTTTTATGGTTGTCGTTTTCCAGAGAAAATTGTGAAAAAGGTTCAAAACATTATGCAACCATTTGCACGTGGAATCGATGTTAATGAACAAGGGAGTTATTTTCTAAATTTTCCAGCTTTAGGAGCTATGGCAAGGTTTTCAATTTTTTAATGGAAATTTTGTATATTGAAAATTCCAAAACGTTGTTGCGACGCGGTCTAATGCTCTTGCAAGTAAGTTAGCATTTTCTTGTTTTGTTTTTAGCTTGGCCAGGTCGACATTGCCATGACGAAAGAAAAACATATCATATTTTCAATTCGGAACGTTATCTAAGTATATAATATAATTTAAAGGGATTTTGTGTATATTTTCCGACCTCGCAGCCGTGAAAACAATTTTGTTGTAGAAAGTTTGAATACGTTCACTTCTACAAATGATTGCAAAAAAGGTTCAAAACGTTGTGTAGTGAAATTTGCTACAAATGTTCGTCAATATTCTGTACACCAAATCTTGAAGTATAATGCTTTTGGGGATTTCCCTCACTGAGAAAAATCAAAATGTGTATGATACATCTAAAAACAGACCAAGTAGCCGTGCGTATCCGTAGTTTTAATTTGACAAATTCGGTCAGTTAACTTTTGAAGAAACAATTTTAAGACACAATATTAATAGAAAGAGTTATAAATTACACAGGAGAAATCTTATTTTAGATATCGCGTTTATGGTTTCAGAGATTGAGTGGTTTTAATCGAGCTTGTTAAAAACCAAGTAAATATTGTTTCGTTCGAGAATTTTTCGCCGACCGCCCCGTCCCAGTCCTAAAATCGCATCACACATGTTTCAACACGCCATCCGTGCGTTTCGCCGCCCTATCTTATAGACGCCCTGATTTTATGTAATATACATGCAAGCGACAGCTATATTGCCATTAATTTCTTCTAATGCTAGGTCTTTTCATTCATTCTACTCATGCCGCAAAAATTGTATTAGCAACATATTTTAAACATCAAGAGTTCAACTATAACTCCAGTCGTTATTTCGTTCACTTGAAATTTTCGTAACTTTTTAGCTAATTCAATATTGATCCACTGTTTACCTTTTGTTGTACATTCCACCCCGATGTCCTTTCGATGCCAGCATCTATGAGAGCCCCATCCTCTGTGAGAGCAAGTTGCTATATTATTTTCCTCTCCTTTGCAATCTACGTCAGACAACCATATTTGCCCAGAACCAGAAGGCACCTGACCAGCAAGAAGTGCCCTTGCAGCGTCTTTATAACCAAGCTGACGACAAACAACCCGAGCATCTCTCAAATCCCATCCTTCTTCACAAATAGTTCCCCAACGTCCATTGTAGAATACTTCAACACGTCCTGTGCCCTTTGAACTTAACGGCCCTTGTAACCTTAGTTGTATAACTGCAAAATCGTAAAAGAATATCATAATGCTCATATGAGGGTATTTGATGGTCAAAAACTGTTATTCCAAGGGTAGGATGCAATCGCTAAGCAAATGTAAACTAACGCCTTGTTTACATTTAATTAATTTTCAATCTCGATATTTCTAAAAATATCAACAACAATCCGAATGTGCTACTATTTTGGCTCGTTATATGGTTATAGTTCTAAATAAGTATAAGCTGTAAGAAAAGTAATAAATGTGATAAACTTCAGATATTTTAAAACTAGTAGTCTACCCATTGTTATGACCAGAAACCACCGTAAAGCGCAATCTACATTTGAGGCAAAAATAAATGTAGCGTAAATTACTCGATTTTCAATTTTGTATATACATCAATTTCTGTATGATTTACATATACTAGAAATGCATGCATGCAAAATTCCCCCGCCTGAAGCAATAAACATATATTTCCAACAGTGAATTTTTATAATACTCGTTTCTGCTGAATGATCAAATTATCAGTAATATTAGTGTAATCCCATATCAAGTACAATTATAAAGTCGACTCCCGAACTATCAAATTCAACTATAATCATAGGCAGCCGCGCTTACTTTGTTTACTTCGTCTATATATTATGACAAGAGTTCGTCAAAAAATACCGATATAGTTTCGTAAAATTAATGTATAATAACATGAGGAGACGCCACAAAAACGCAACTTACAATATTAGCTAAACGCTCATTGGCGGTCTTGCGGGTGAGCCAATAAGCGTTTAACAACTAGAAATACATGCATGCAGCAACCCCTCGCCATTTCAAACGAAGCAAAATATTTGCTGAGCTAGCCAGACCTAACCTTCAATATTATGAAATGACCTAAATGTAAAGCCGATAGCTGATGTTTCAAATTTTTTGGAAACAAACACAATCGTAAAGGTGAAATGAAATCACCCGTTTTGCGGACGTGAACCTAAAAGTGCTGTATTTCGTTCAGTCTAAGTAAAATAACGACTGTATAAATTGAGATAGATCGTGTTTTATATTTATAGCTTGTAAAACGTTTAATACATGGAAAAGTTTTACTTTTTCGACGTTCACCTCGGAGGCAAAAATATTTAGAACTACAGTAAATAAAACCAATTCCATCGTTCTAGCATTAAAACCTACTTCGTTATCATTTTTACAAAAATGATCAATTTTCCACCATTGGGTGTGTCTGAAAAGATTTTTATATTTTTCAAAATAAAAAATAATAAAAAAATTTATTGTATAAGACCACCTTAAGAAAGATGACGTTTGCTTAGGCGGAGTGACCTGCGGATAGTTTTGTCAAAATTTCGCATGAATGCCTGTTTTTTTTTACTAATATTGCATAATGTCTTTCCGAAAAGTACGAGACGTTTACGTCTATGGGCTAGCAATCTCAGATTTGATCTGCAAAGTGCAAAATGAATCTTATCTTTATTTTCCAGACTGGATGTTCACTTTTTTAATGACAAACGTAATTAAACCCAAGACGTTCAAAATTTCGCTTTAAAGGGATGATGGCGTTTATAAGTACGACATGTATAGCGTTTATAAGACGTTTGCATAGTATAAGTATAAAATGACTTTCTTACTTGTTATTCATAAAAAAGAATATGTACTCAACTTTGCACGTACAACGCAAAAATGGCCAACTACGAACCGTCCCGGACGAGGTGACCCCACGTCCCAGCCCTAATTGCTTCACGTTCATAGTCCGCTGTTTGTAGTCGCGCAACTTAAAGTCCCTAATATATAGACGAAGTAAACAAAGTAAGAGCGACACGCGCGCGAGATCACACGCGCAAGTCAAAGTCTGGGCTGCCTATGCTAAAATCATAATTGTGCTAGGAATAGTTTTAAATGCTACAATTTTTAGCGAAATTTTAATTCCTTTTTAAACTGATTCATCTTCAAAAATAAATGCTTTCCCAATCAAAATAATTTTAACCAAAATGACGAATAAATTAAAAGAGGTGTCATACATTTGCTGAATCCACATATTAAACTTACAAAATGCTTGCTTTAAATACAAAATCTGCCCATTTTACCAGTTCAAAAACACTAGAAATCGTAGATTTTTTACCATCTGTTTGAATCAATTTTTTTTATCCGAAGGCATCTTTTAATCAATTTTACGAGTCAATTTTCGTACATTTTCAAGATAATCCAAATGAAAAATATTATTTAAAAAAGTTTTATGATTCAAAATATCAGTTATGCTGACGTGAACCAAAATTTTAATTTTGCCAATCGCACGTTTGCAAACGTTTGCTAGTTACCAGTTTTTAACTCTTCTTAAACTCACGTATGCGCATAACTAACAAAAACGTCCAACGTGCATAACATAATGGAGGACAACTTCGATTTCGAATTTGCATTCCCGGCCTTAATTAAAATCTTCGGGCAGGATTAATGTAATAACTCATGTAATATGTGTTTTTATTTCTTTGTTTCTGGAATACTTTTAGTATTTGCAAAAAAGGAACACTGTGTGGGAATAAGAAAATATCCAAACTGAATCGCTCAATCTGATAAATAAAACTACCACCGGTTTCATCCCATACCTGTTTTTGTACATTCAACTCCCACGATATAAAAAATCGAGCAACTATGTTTTCCCCAACCACCGTGAGAACAACTTGTTATATTTTTCTCATTTCCGGTACAAGAGACGTGAGACAACCAAATTTTGCTGGAACCTCTAGGAACCTTGTGCCACGGAAGCGTTTTAACAGCATCGTTATAACCAAGTTGACGGCATACAACCCTAGCATCTCTCATATCCCATCCATCATTACAGATTCCTCCCCATTGTCCGCGATAAAATACTTCGACACGACCAGTGCCTTTGCCACTTAATGGTCCTTGTAACCTGACTCTCACAGGTATAGCAGAAAAATCTTATAAGAAAAAAAATGGAAGAAAAAAATAATAAAGTGATCAGCCTATAGTGGTAATCCTATATCGAATTACAAACAAAAAAAGCTGTTTAAAAAGGAATTCCGGTTGAATCTGCGCAGGTTACACTTCGCTTACATCATGACGTAAAATTTCCCTTATATATGGCAAAGCGCCATATTACTAATTTTTTCGAGCAAGACGGCCGATTCACATGAGGCTCTGCAATCCAATTTGACCGTTATTCCTTCGAGTACAGCACAGTAGTTTCCAGTCACGTTGAAAATCAAATTAACAATGAAGACAATGTATAGTAAGTGAACATGACCTTTCGCCAAGTGGGGTAAGTACTAAACTAGTTCAAAAATGCGTTTAAATTAACTTGTAATATCTGTTTTTTGCGCAGTTCGTATTATAAAAGGGACAAAAAGTGACTTTTTGTGCTGATGACAGCTCATCCACTGTGAAGATGCAAATGTTTGCTAGGTCAAAACTATTCAAGCTATAGTTTTTAGTCTTTGAGTTCTGTTGCCCAACCGGCAAGCCTGGATTGCGAGGTTATCGCGCAACATTTTATGCCTAGTATTTCATACATTTCCTATCTGTTTGAAGGATTTTGGGATTTTAGAAAAAAATATTGCCACAGTCACGCACCACGCACACTTCCCAACCATGCATACATGAAATAGTCTGGGTTTTTTACGGGTCTTAACGACGACGACAAATTGATTTAAAACGACTCAATGGCCTACCTTTCTGGCCGAATGAAATGAAATTCGAACAATGGATTAGATGACAAACCTTATTATCATCTCATTATCTGTCGTTTAAATTGCATATGATACTACTAATACGGCCATATAGCTCACTGAGAATTAATACAACATTTCACGACTATCCAATTGATCACTAACGTTTTACCTGTTTTTGAACATTCAACTCCTGCGTCTTTGCGATGCGAACATCGATGATTTCCCCAACCATCGTGAGAACAACTTGATATATTTTGCTCACTTCCGGTACAAGCGATCTCAGATAACCATATTTGGCCTGAGCCATCAGGAACCTCGCTTCTCTGAAGAGTTCGAACGACATCTGGATATCCAAGTTGACGACATACTACCCTAGCGTCATTAAGATCCCATCTATAATCACAGATTGTTCCCCAATATCCATAATAGAATACTTCAACACGCCCAGTACCATTTGCACTCAGCGGTCCTTGCAACCGCAGTCTCACAGGTATAGCGGTAAAATCTGAGAAGAATAGTAAAGTATTTCTAATTGAACACGTTGGTAGAATAAGCGCATATCTAATTATTGGACAACATAAGTATTTAAAAGACTTAAACAACCTAAATTGAATTAGATGTTTATATAAATAAAAAAGACTGTATTCGATCAAATCTCTAAACGTATATACATGGGCTATAGACGCACTTTTCTAGTTTCTTTACTGTTTGGAGGGTCGTTATTACAACTTACTTTTCGTGGAGCACTGTATGCCAGCGACTCGGTTATAAGGGCAAGAGCTATCTCCCCAACGACCGAGAGTACAGCTGGTGATATTTTGCTCGTCCCCTGTGCATCTGACGTCTGATAACCACATGAGACCAGAACTGGGAGGGACCACGTTACTTGGAAGAGTTTTTGCATCATCTGGATTATAGCCCAGTTGACGACATGCAACCTTGGCATCGCTTTTATCCCACCAATAATCACATATTGTTCCCCAATATCCATGATAGAATACTTCAACACGACCAGTACGATCTGTGCTTAATGGTCCTTGTATTCGTAGCCTCACTGGCGTAGCCGTAAAGTCTTAAAAAAGCGTCAGAGAAAGTGGAAGATCTATGAGGCCACAAGTTGGGAAGGCATTCGGCAGTAGACCTCCCACCAAAAAACATCAGTCATAAGTCGCAGGGCCGTAGCTGAAAGCTTATTTGGCGGCGAGGGGGATGCCTGACAGAGTTTTTTATAAGCCTTATTTGAACATAAATATACATTTAAATCTTTTCCCCTCCCCCTAATTATGATTTTAACTTCGGCATTAATAAGTCAGGTGATTCGTCCCTGAAAGCCACGCAATTTTCGCCGGAGCATTTCGCCGTTCACATGCACTCCACCCCATTTTTATGCCTGGAGACCTTTGGTCAAATCATGGATTTAAATTACGTTTTACAACATATATTATTTCCGTACTGGTGGATTGGTTAATTTTTTAGCTATATACCTGTTGTGCTGCATTCAACACCAGCGTCTTCATAATGAGAGCAATAATGAACACCCCAAGATCCATGAGTACAGCTTGTAATATTTTGTTCTTCTCCAGTACAATCTATTTTAGATAGCCATATCTGTCCTGAACCAGAAGGAACCTCGCTTCTATCAAGGGTTCTCACAGCATCTTGATAACCGAGCTGACGACATACAACCCTAGCATCTCTCATATCCCATCCATTATCACAGATTGTTCCCCAATGCCCACGATAAAATATTTCAACGCGACCAGTACCATTCACACTCACTGGTCCTTGTAACCTTAGTCTTATAGGAGCAGCTGAAAAATCTTTAAACAGAACATCTACGTGTATAAGAGCAATATTGGATGAAATTGATTATTTAATCTTTTTAATTTATACCTGCGTTACTGCATTCTACACCAGCGTCTCCACGATAAGATCTTGAGCAGAACAAAATCTCTCCCCAATGGCCGTGACCACAACTTGTGATATTTTGCTCCTTCCCCGTGCAATGAACTTGAGACAACCATATCTCTCCTGAACCGGAAGGGACTTCGTTTCTTGGAAGGGCTCTGACAGCATCTTTATAACCAAGTTGATGACATACAACCCTGGCGTCTTTAATATCCCATCCACGATCACAGATTGTCCCCCAATATCCATGATATAATACTTCAACACGACCAGTGCCATTTGAACTTAATGGTCCCTGCAGCCTCACTCTCACAGGCGTGTCTGAAAAATCTTAGACGAGCAAAGTTTAACGATAAACTAGAGTCTAATTAATCTTTTCTATTACTTGAGTACACAGAATACCTATCAGAAGGACAACTCTATTGTTTTTGTCGAAAGTGGGATTCGTCATGATTCGTCACTCAGTAAGTGCCGTAAATAGAGGCAACCACCCCCCCCCGGGATAATATCAAAAATGGTGACATTTTAGACTTTGGCAGGGAGGAGATTCGCTCTATTTACGTTACTTTCTTCGGGACGAATCATGACGAATCACACATACTAGAGTTGTACTTCTGCTATATAGGTATTCTGTGTTTTGTTAAAGGAAGAATTATTTGGTAAATTCATACCTCTTGTACTGCATTCTACGCCAACGTCTTGGGAATGAGAGCAAGAAATAACACCCCAATCGTTATGACTGCAACTTGTGATGTTATGTTCATTGCCAGCACATGCAACGTTAGATAACCATATCTGTCCAGAACCAGAAGGAAACTGGCCAGGACGAAGGGCCCTAGCAACATCTTGGTAACCAAGCTGACGACATACAACACTAGCATCTCTCAAATTCCATCTATAATCACAGATTGTCCCCCAATACCCATGATAGAACACTTCAACCCGACCAGTGCCGTTTTCACTTGATGTTCCTTGTAATCTGAGTCGCACATCTGTCTCTACATAAGCTTTAAAATATATGTATGGTAATGAAGTAAGAGGGATTAATTGAAGCAAGAGAGATATTTGAAATAACGTATTCTCCTTTATAATTTGTTTTTTTTGATAATCCGTAAAATTTAATCATAAGAAATATAGTAATTTTATAAAATTTACAATTATCGATCATGCATTAAAGCTAAGTTCTACAGACGAAGTTAATAGTTCTACACACTATTTACAAAAACAACTTAAATAGACTACACGCTAATGTTTAAGTTCCATTCAGACAACGTAATGTCATTAGTCGTTGTGATGGACGCAGTCCTCCAACTTCGACTGCCACGTACACACACCACGCGAGCTCTAAGCAAAGCAAAGGCGATCTTTCGTCGTAACCAGCTAACCACCATAGATGGAGAATGATTCTTCTTGTCAGCCAGCTTCGCACCCAGGAAGGAAAGAAAATGTTGCGTCTCTCTTCCGCATCCACCAAAGGCGCTGAAGACGACCGGTGTGAAGGAGCCATGCTCGACTTCAACAATCCGTTGGTTGTAATTTCACTTCTTTTCCCGTTCGTTGGCTTTAAACGAGCTGCTCAACGTCTGGCGTCAATGTGTTGCGACGTATGGGTTAAACACCCTTACATCAAAAAATGCCTTTTCACATCTAAGCCGGAAGCCTCTCGCAGCAATGTCCACTCGGCGTTATCGGCTGAGATAGCACTGGGTGGAAGAACCTCGCCAGTCAAAGGAGCAAGGGCAGGTTCAATTGAAACATCGTAAGCAACGTCATCGATAGCAGCAGCAAGTAGATCACGGATGTCATCATGTTTTCGATGGATAAAGCCCCCTTTCAGGCACGACAGGGCATGGTCCACCGTGAACGATTTTCCACAGGCGCAGAAAGATGGAAGGCGTTTTAATGGCCATCGATAACGCATATAGATTGCATCAAAGAACTCTTGCACGCTTGGTCAAGATCTAGCCTTCTCCTTTATAATTCATTCTTCTCCTTTATTCCGTGTGCAGTACGTTCCAAAGACGGAATCTTTGCCATCGCAAGGCGCTTATATTCTTAGCTCGGATGCAAAAATTTGTTTTTTAAAAAATGGACATAAGCAGTGCGTAAGAAGCAAGATAATTAGGGGTAGGCAAAATCATTCATTCATTTTAATAGACTGTAAAAACAATCGATTTGGCACGAATAGATTAATATGCCTCCCTCTCCCGTTATCGTTCTTCCTACGCTGCTCTAAGCAGGAAACCCAACGGGTAAGAATCCTTGAATTGAAATTGAACTTTGATTGATATTATTTATATGGCACGTAAGAACACTGGTGACATCATTTTCACCTCAGCGATGACAAAATCCCGCAATGAATTTCGTGTGCATTAGGAGCTAGTTCGCGGGGAATAGTCTACATGGCTCGGTGGAAAATAATAAGCACTACTTTGCGATTTAGAATCACTTTGCTTCGATATTGCGATAAAGAATAAAAAATAATTCTGCTATAGAAGTGATTCCGCTATTGTTTTTACCTTTATCGGCATTCTCGATAGAGAATTGAAATTTATAAATACAAAAACGTTTTAAATCTCATGCATAGGTTTGATATCTAATTTTTTACCTGCTGTTTTACATTCAACTTCGGCGTATTCTTTTTGATAGCAATTATGAGAACCCCAACCTGTATGTGAGCACGTTGTTAAGTTTTCTTCATTCCCAGTACAAGAAACAGAATCCAACCATACATGCCCAGAACCGGTAGGAACCTGGCTACCACGAAGTGCCCGAATAACATCTTTATAACCAAGCTGACGACATACAACCCGAGCATCTCTCATATCCCAGCCTCGACCACAGATTGTTCCCCATTGTCCATTGTAGAAAACTTCCACCACACCGGTACCATTTGAGCTTGATGGCCCTTGCACCCTCATTGGCACGGCTGAAAAATCGTAGAAGAACATAGCAGTGCATGAGATCATTGATCTTAATGGTAAAAATGAACGACCTACAACTAAAAGGCTTTTTGAATATGTGAAAATAAAGGAATCTAATCGGAAAAGAACTTGCAACTTGACCGGTGTCTCTAATCCGGTTCGCCGCAGTGAATGATATGAACAAAAGGCAAAACAACGTGCGGTTTGAAAACTATCTGTTAAAGAGTGCAAGGCCCGAATAATATACCTGTTTTCAAGCATTCAACTCCGACGTCATTATAGCGAGAGCAATAACGACTAACACCCCAACCACTGTGAAAACAGCTTTTTATGAGTTGTTCATCACCAGTACAATCGAGGTTACTTAACCATATCAGCCCAGAACCGAAAGGAAAATCACCATGAGAAGGTATCCTTCCCGAATACGAATAACCAAGTTGACGACATATAACCCTAGCATCTCTTATATCCCAGCCATCATCACAAATCGTTCCCCATTTTCCTCTGAAGAATACTTCAACACGACCAGTGCCATTTTTACTGAGTGGCCCTTGTAACCTTACCGACGCATTAATTGCTGAAAAAAGTTATAAAAATTAACAATAAAACAGGTAATGTCTTGCTGTATTTTATTTTTCATGTCTAAAAAACTCGCAATTTGAATTTTTATCATGACCAGCGACTATAAACAAAAAGCGGAGGTGGCCGACTGCGTGTGCCTTAGGTCAGACAGATTTGCTCATAGGTCGAAATTCTGACTTAACCAACTTCTTATGTGTCATGGAAATGTCTCTCCCAAAAAGTAGGATCGATTTTTCGAGAGTCTAACTTTTACCAAGGGATGGTCCGAGCTGACAAACGTCTGCTAGCTGGTTGTTCCATACAACGTCCTGATTATGCTTTTAGAAAAATGATAATTCCCATGCACAACATTTAAGTTTGGACACTTAGTCTCAATGCCGAAACTGATGGACGTGGAAGTTGAAGAATTAGTAGAAAAAGAAATTTATGAATACAGATTTTATCGTAAACTTTATACCTGTCGTTGCACATTCAATTCCAGCATCTTCATTGTGCGAGCAATAATTACGTCCCCAACCACGGTGAGAACAACTTGTTATATTTTGTTCATTCCCGGTGCAAGAAACGTAGGATAACCATATTTGACCAGAACCAGAAGGAACCTCGCGACTTTGAAGAGCTCTCAGAGCATCTTGATAACCGAGTTGACGGCACGCAACCCTAGCATCTCTTAAATCCCAACCATCCTCACAGATTGTTCCCCATTGTCCATGATAGAAAACTTCAACACGACCGGTACCATTTGCACTTAATGGTCCTCGTAATCTCAGTTTAACAGGTATAGCGGTGAAATCTTAAAATAATAGCGGAATAAATGAGATCACTTGCAAATCCATTTAATTGCTACATAGAAATCACGGAAAAAATTAAAATTCGGCACAGATAAGTGATGTCTGGAATTCCTAAGGTCTTTGACAACAAAATTGTAAAAACGATGCAATGTCGTAATTTAATGTAGAGTACCTACATGTACATATCAATTGATGGGAGACTGTGACTGTGTTTTGCCAATGAAAGCTGCAAGGATGCTGGCGAGAACACGGCGAAGACGGTTATTGATGAAATAAATAATTAATGAAGTATTTAGAAGTTGTAAGCCTCGTTCACATGCTGTTTATAATTGTACATTATTTTAAAGTTTCAGCTTCTGCATTTCAAGAAGCAGCGAGCGCTGCCAGCTCAAATTGGCCACGATAAAATGGTCGCCGCTAAACATACCCAATGTTTTATGAAACAACCCTTTACCTCGATCAGTACGGTTTAAGGACGCTATTATGACTAATATCCGAAGCGGACGTACTCACAATTAATATAAGCCTGGAATTAAGTTCAGAATGATATAATATAATTTATGGTGTTTAGAGACGTTGCTAAGTTGGTCATGACAATACAGTTATAGAAACACGCTACTCGAGCAATCACCACGTGTGTTCTATTAATGCATATTATAAACATGTATAGCAACACAGGTCTTTTCCCGCTGAAATTGACAAGCAAAGTAACGTAATGAGAATGAATTTGTAATTTATTCGAATTCTAATATTTGTACAAAATCTTTTCATTGAGTTATATTAATAAAAAATAGAAAATATTTTCTGCATGTGTATTATTACCCGGGAGTTTAAGAGAACGTGAAATATTCATAATAACGAGTGTGTAAACGTGTTGCTCAAGGAATTTTTGTTATTTTAAAAAGTTTTTTTTTAACAAGCCATGTTTCGGTTAGAAATTTCTACTGTACTAATGAAATTTCGCCCCAAAATATTAGTCGATAAGTGCCAAGAAAAGTATATCATACCTATTGTAGTACATTCAACTCCAGCATCTTCGTCATGTGAGCAATCATGAACCCCCCAACCACCATGAGAACAACTTGTTATGTTTTCTTCTTTCCCAGTACAACTGACTTCATCTAACCATATCTGACCAGAACCTGAAGGAACTAGCGTTTTTGGAGGGAGTTTTACAGCTGTATCGTTGTTATAGCCAAGTTGACGACAAGCAACTGTAGCATCTTTCAAATCCCATTGATCATCACATATTGTACCCCAAGCTCCATTGTAAAATACTTCAATCCGCCCAGTACCATTTGCGCCCAGAGGCCCTTTCAATCTCAGCAATGATCCTAGAAAGTATACATATTTATAAAAAAAAACTGTTACGACGAATTTCCAGTGATTTGAATTTATAACTGTAGCTAAGGACAGAATTGGCCAATCATAGTCGTGTTTTATGAAAAATGTAGCTATAAAGAGTTTAATACAACCGGCCCCTGGTATATTGTTTGTGATTAAAACCGGTTAGTAGCAGCAAACGACTAAGTGACCTAACACTATTACGCCTATACAGATTATAAAAAAATGATTTACCTTCGCAATGGTGTGGTACAAAAGATACACCAAGAATTACGCCAGTTATGACAACCAAACTCGTCATTTTGTGAACAAGGGAACTTAAAAACAAGGAAATATATAGCATTTACATTGAAAAGAACGTGTCACTAGAAATACATAAAATGATATGTAATATTAGCATACGAATAAAGATTTTATTCTTTCCTGCACTTAAGAATTGTAGATAGAAACCTTGATATACTTATGTAGACACTAACGCCTGTATTCTAAAAGCTCACTCACACTCAAACTCATTGAGTGGGAGATCTTAATCTTCTCGTAATGTTTCAATGGCGGTATTTCTAGCCAAACAGGGGCTTGATTTTCAGTGATTTAACTTATATCTTTCCATCTATTCAGAAAAAACTTTCTCATTGATCAGCATTAACGAAATTTATATGTCACACTCGATGAGTATGAGTGTGAGTGAGCTCTTTGAATACAGGCGTAAGTCTTGTAATTTTCCTGGGAATTAACATCGTAATTGACATTGTCATTTCCCCGGGAATTTTTGATCACATGATGCGAACGCGGGAAAGCGGAAAGGAATGGCAATATACATTTTTATAACACGTTATCTCTTTCAATATGCACTATGCTTCAGCTATATATTAAGAGCGAGAAAATTTTGGAAGCAAGCCCCCCCTATGAAAATTAATACAGCGGCATGTGTTAACGCACAGAGCCATAAATATTCCAGGCAATGTGTGACTGGTTTATTGCATATATTGAACGATTGCACATAAAACAGGCGCCGGTTGTATGAAAGCCGGATAGCGCTATCCATTGGATAGTGATTTTTTCAATCACTTTAAAATCGCCCGCTGTTGGGTATAACTTGATTAAATCTTAGTATTTCTAGATCGGGGATTCTCTTTGATACTTTTTGGTTCAAAAGCTTAAATTTAGAAGGGTTGAAAAAATCACTATCCGGTGGAAAGCGATACCCGGCTTTTATACAATCGGCCCCAGAGCTCCTCGTGCCAAAAAATCTGCATTGTAAGGGAAAAAATTAAGGGAAGCGATAAAGGTGAACTATGGCGTTCATGTAAATACGTTCGTGATGACAAAAAGGAATTTAAATCCTATCTTAAGCTTATACGGTTTGTGCAGGCCCATAGAGTGCCTAGGTGAACTATAGCACAGCGCTATATGCTATGTCCTTCATGAACACTCGTGAAAATCGCTTCGAAAGTCGGTTTAGGAAAGCTGACTCTGATATTTCTAAACTCTCAGTCCAAGTTAATGGCGGAAACTAAACAAAAGTCAAATGCTGGCAAAGGTCCAAAATATTAAAGATTTGAATCAAAGCCTGGCATTTTAACCAGATGATGCATCATCTCAGAAAATTATCTGCCACTATATGCTTAGAAACGTTATCACTTTATCCGGCCATAAATAAACAAATACTCGTGCGTTGTTAAACGTATAAAAAGATTATAGGAATGATCTCAATTTCCTTTGAGTTTAAAGGCGAATTTCCACTTACAGCGAAATCGTTCGCTAGCGAAATATTTGCATATTTTCTTTTGAATTGAGAACAGTCAAGTCGAACCAATTTATTTATGCTGTTAAAATTCAAAAAAAATATGCAAATATTTCGCTGGCGAACGATTTCGCTGTAAGTGGAAATCCGCCTTAATGAATACATGTTAATTTTTTTGTCGCCTAAAAAATGCAAGCAAGCCAAAACGTGCTTAAAAATCATCATGTGACACGGAAGCAAATACAATTCATGGCTCGCACAGCCTGATATGCATGAAATCATTGCGGGAGTTTGATATATAAAATTATATCAAATGTATGCAATCACATGTTACATGGCAAAAAGTCTTATGTGAAAGCGGCTTTCATTTCTCTCTATGTAAAAGTGCTTCTTAAAATTCGTTCTGGTGTGATATGGGTGATCTGGACCATCAAAATTTTACGCTAAAATTGCGATAGTTAGATTTTAATAGGAAGATGATACGACAATCTCTCTTTGCCTTTTATCAATTAATTACTGGAAAGTAGAAAAGTGCAGCCTGAACTATAAATCTAGTAGAAAGGTACATACCGTGTGCTCTAAAATGCCGGTTCACGATTCCTTGATCTGTTCTCAATATGACCTCTTCGTCTGGACCGTCTTGCTATATCGTTATTCAGAAGCCTCTATAATAAACGTTTTAAATAATATCAACGGTAGGAAAGAAAATATGTACCATAAGTACAGTAGATTTCGACTACGTTTTGGTTATGGGATAACGCTAAATTGCATTAGATATATATATGCGAAGGATAAAAGTAATATGATACGAAAAACTTCCTGGGAACAAAGAATGTATATAAAAAACACCGTAGCAACCGTATACGATAATCAGGCAATCCGAAAAATAAGCAGATGAGAAAATGTTAATTAATTACAAAATATGATGTTAAATTTCTTTTCTAAAATTGGTTCCAATGCCCAACATTAAATATCTAAACCTAGTTCATACTTGTCTGAGGTCACTAGTGCGCATAATTTTTTGTCTATTGGAATAATACAGTGGATCGCCAATTGTTAGGAGCTAGTGTGAATCAGGCCTTAGTTTGGCACTATACTGTATACAGATCGAGACTTAATTCATAAATGCTGTAGAAATCAATGTGAGATCTGCTCTCGAATGAGTCAGAATGAGTACAGTGCGGTAACCCGATCCACTTGTCTTTCTAACTTACAGCATGACAATGAATTTCTGTAAAAGGTAATAATCAGTAAACTCATAGATGAAATGCGATAACGCGATACTTTCATATGAATGGCATGCAATGATCGTTGTGTGGTAAATACTATACTATATTGTTTACTCAGGGCTTCACAGGAAGGCTAGTTTTGCCTGTAAGGCTAGTTTTCACGTCGTATTTACATGAGAAAAGTCAACACGCTTACTGCGGATGGCTCTTTCTCAAAAACCACATTAAATATCTTCTCTGGGAGTCTGGGACTTATCATGATATCCAAAGCCATAGTCAGTCAGACAATTTTTTTAATACTAATAATCAAAGATCTACTGAATGTTATTGTAGAGCTATTACGATCGATATTACGCATTTTATCATGTTGCGCTAGTCAATGACAATGTATGACCCATGTAAACAGCCCCTGAATCGACGAATTATGCCGAATTATTAAATTTAACTGGCAAACATAAAACATTGTCATTCTCAAAGACAATGATAATGTTAATTTTAACAATAATATAATAAAGTCTTACCTGAATGGGGAGCGAATCCACGTTTTGCGACGGCCATTATTTTTACAGTACAGTAGTCCTCCGCTAACTCGAACTCGCTTAACTCAAACTCCTCACTAACTCGAACTAAATCTAATTCCCCTCAGATTTGGTAGTGTTCTTGAGTATTCTATCAGTATTTCATTATTATATAAAGCAGGATTTTTTAGGAAATAAACGCATGAACTGCGGCAATCCAATATACGTAAATATAGGCGTAACCTAACACCAACCTTGGTTAGCTCGAACCCCCGGTAACTCGAACAATTTTTCTTTCCTCTGTAGGTTTCAGAGTTCGCAGTTTGCTGGATTACGCTCGCTAATGTATAAGCACACAAAGTAATGCATGTTAATTCTTTGTCATTCCTGGTGACGTTAAAATACCGGTAACTAAACAAAACCGACGCGATATTAATCATGATATCACTCTCGTTGCACAGGGAACACGTTTCTTTCATTAAGCTTGTTTGTACAGTGTGTCTCATAGAAAAGTGACGCTATTCAGAGTGCATAAAAAACTACAAAAGTATACATTATCATACATTAGAATTTCAATAGCTGTGCATCTAATTACGTTGGGCTTTGAAAATACGTTACCGCGTGCAATACTATGAAAATATGCAAACAAAGTGAATTAGAAATAGTTTAGTTACGAATGGCCCGGTATTACCTAAGAATGGTCTTTATGATTGCAATGTTGACACTTTCGTGGAGTTTTGTTCTGATTCGATCTGGGTTAAGGTTATCGTCTCAATACAAACTGAAAGTCCCTAAATGTAGGACTGACTGCTTAAGAACACCTACTTCAACAGGATTGTATATTTGAGGAACAGTCTGCCAAATGATTTAAGAACTACTAATATTAGTTTAGAGCATTTCAAAAAGTCGTGTAGGAATTATTGTAAATCGTTATCTTACGATCTCGATAGACCTCGTGCTTCTTGGGCTATCTGACTTTTTTATTTTTGGTTTTTTGTATCTTTTGATATGTTATGATTTGTTTTGGGTGGAAAAGCTTATTGTGGTTCTTATTGTTCCTTTCTACTCCATCCTCACTGTACTCTATTTCATTTAATTTTTTAACTTTTTTATTTTGTATTTACCTTTTGTGTATAATACAGCGGAAAATTTATTAAATTAAACTGAAATTCACTACTCATTCACGCCCTGGCTAAACGGTTACATGCTCGTCGATTGTAAAGAATATTCGGGTTCTTTTTTAAGAATATCTCTCTTTTGAACCCCAGGTCAATTCCATCTGCAAGGCTGCGTTCTCTCATATATACGCAATATTTCAAAAATTAGGAAATTTCTCATCACGGCTAAGATTATTATCCATGGCCATGTTTTGTAACATCGAAACTGAATAAATATTTGATTGGGAGACTACAATCGCTTCACAATTATGCAGCTAGAATTATTGTTCAGTGTAAGAAATTTAAGCATGCAACTCTACTCAGAGTTTGCCTTGGCCCCTGTTGAACAGAGAATCAAATTTAAAGCTCTTAAGGGCCTAATGCCATCATATATTTGAAAACTAGTTAAACCGTATGCTCCCTTGAGGACTCTTCGTTCAGCGGACCAAAATCTTCTTTGTCAGCCAAGATTCAATTATAAAGACAATTGGAGCATGTTCCTTTTCCACTTCGGCTGTCGGCACCTACCTTATGGAACTCAATGCCTTCTTCTTTACGTGTTACAAGTTTACGTGTTTAAGCGTGTTTTCAAGTAATTGCACTGGTGAGGGCTTGGTTTAACAAGTTAGCCCTTTCTATATAAATGCAGTTCGGTTTATTTTAG